CCGCAGCGAACAAAGACTGCCTACGTTATTGCATGAAACCAGGTGTTGTTTGCCGTTTTTGCGCTAAAGGATGCGCGCCCGCTTCGCCGTTTCGAAACACCAAGACGCATGGGCGCTTTGCCGGCCAATCATTGCGGGGGCGGGCCTTGTTCCTGAGGCCAGGGCTGAGCCTGGTGTGGAGTTTGTCAGACTTGGCCCCAGCCAGCTCGGTTTTCTGTATGCGCCAACGGGGGCTACATCTTGGGGCTGGGAAGTAAGAGTCATTGATGCCACGTAGGCTGGATGCTACGAAGAGTTGCAGTGTTTTTGTCGTGTCGTCGCTTGCTGATGCAGATACTCTGAGGAAGAGAGGGTCAGGCTGTCGCAGATGTCCCTTCTGCCGCCAACAAACCAAGCTTTGGCTACTGCAGCGCTAGTCCGATCTAACAGTCTTGGTACAGATCCAAATTTACCCCATACAGTGGCATGGCGCTTGCGTGTTGCACCCTTTCCACTAGCCGAGTCCCTAGGGGAACAAACATTCCACACAAAACTCTCGTTGTCGCGCTTATCGACGTAAATAGACCAAACATGCGTTCCTGGCGCGGGTGTATCAGATGCGATTTCCTGTGTTTTACTGAGGCAGAGAGGCGGCGGACAAGGTTGCACGGCACGGCAAAGACGGGTGTGACTCGAGATCGAGATGAGATGAGATGATGTAGAAGGAGGAGGCGTGGGAGGCAGAGGAAATTGACGAGAAGCGGTTGATGTGGGAAAAGACAGGGTTGCTGCATCTATCTGATGCAGAGTGATATGGAATCATCGAAATTGCATACTCATCATTACCCTTTCGCATATTGCGCAGGACGCTTGGGTACCCTTCCTACTCAAATACCGGCATCCATACGGATCGCGGCATGCCCGGTGGAGAACGATCTGTTCCACGTAAATTTAGCGCATCGAGGATGGGGGCTACCTCAGTAGATCCAATTCTTTCCGAACCTTGTAGCTGACTCTAGGGCAGCACCAACCGATTATTTTTGCTGCACCGGCAGCTCCCAGATCCGCTGCGACATCCTGAACGGTTTTGTATGCCCATGGAGCTTCTTCGAAGACAAGGTCCTTCTCGTCACATATGACCCACGTACCTTCTGGGTCTTCTGCATTCGGCTCCAAGAGGTTTATGCCTTTGTACTTCTTGCCCAAGGTTTGGAGAGCCTTTGCCCGAGACATGGCTCGTCCTGCGCCATGGGCCAGCGAAAGTCCGTTCTTGAGGCCCCATGAGTTGGCTTCCGAGAATGTTGGCTGGAGGATGAGCGTGGCGGTGCTCCGGGAACCGGGCAGTGGAAGGAGACCGAGCGGCAACTGAGTTTTGGGGTCGTATGTCGGGGCTGCGCCTTTTCTATGGAGAAAGACGTATTCTTTTGGAGTGTTTTCATCGCCCAGTGCTATTTGGTCCAGCGCCTCGGTCAGACTGCGTTCAGGCGTAGGTTCCTCCGCAGCTGAAGAAGGGGCATGTGGAGGCCAGGCCACACATTCGACGTTGTTGTGCCAGATGTCAACTACCTTGCGCTTCTTCAGTGCCGCTTTGGCTGTCGCAATCATCTTTATGCCCTCTTCGCCGAAATCGCTGGCGTCAGAGTCGCCTAGCTGCCAGTCTTCATTGCCAGGCTCAAGACATGCAAGGAATCGCAGAGCAATCAGATCCCGGTTCGCCTTCGCCCACTTGCAGGCCTTGTTGTGCTCCTCTAGGTATGCATTGGCATCCTCACTATCGTCCGGAAAGCTTGTGCGTGAATCGGTTGTGTACTTCTTGAGAATGCTGCCTCCTAGTCCTCGTGATCCCGAGTGGACTAGCAGGACGACATCATCTTGATGGAGTCCATCGTCCGACTTAGCAAATCCCGATTCCTCGACGACCTGGATCTCGGCAAAATGATTCCCAGCTCCTATGGTGCCCAGAGCAGCGTCCCACTGTTTACCGGCGGAGATGCTACAGTTGTCTTCGTCCAAGAGCCATTTCTCTCGGTAGACTTGGTTGCGCCAGGCACCCTCTAGTCCTCGAAGCTGATTAGCAACGTTCTTGCCTTTGTTCCCATCAACCTGGCTTCTGTTGAGTGTTGTTTTGTACCAGGCCATACCACATCCGATATCGCCACCGATGAGAGGAGGATGGATCCATCCCTTAGAAGCAAATACTGCGCCGATGGGGAACTTGGTGCCTGGATGGAGATCGGGTTGACCAACGGCATGTATGATACCCGGAAGCGTGCGCGCGGTGGTCTGAAGCTGATCTAAAGCCAGCGGTTCAATGAGGGTTGCTTCAGATGCTAATACTTCAACTGGACATTGTGGGTTTGCGTCGGCTATTATATGGTGTCAGTGATTGATCGTAATACGGAAGGGGGTAAGCACAGATATTGAGCGCAAACTTGCTCAAACGTCAGTGCTACTTACCATGCACCCCTGATACTTTCCTGGCACCAACATAGTCTTCTCCCGCTGAGACGAGCAATACGACGTCGTTATTAATATTGCTCTTCCAATCTGCTTCAGACACAAGCTCTTGCCCGCTGCGTCCGACAAAGACGCGAGTGGGTTTCTTTACACGCAGTTTTGTCTGCGCACTCTTGAAGACAAGCGCTCGGACAGAAGATGAAGCTGTCGGATCAGTGGACGCGGAAGCGGGTATAAGGATTGGACATTTTGTTGATTGGTTTGCATTTGATGCGAGAGTCAGACGTATGGCGGGCATCTTCGCACTGTGGTTGAGAGTTTGGGTTGGATGGAGTAACACGATCTCGAAAGGGAAGCGATAGTTGTTTGCGGGGTTAATGTACAATGGTGACCTTTTGTTTGACTACATAGTCTGGTGACAGGACTTTATTTACACTGCGCGTTCGCAGATGGTTTACCTAGCGCAGCGCCGCTCACTTCGACTCATCTTGAACTATTCGAGCACAGCCACAATGTCTTTCACCACAACAAAGCGTAGCGTAACGGATGCCTTACCCTAACGACATCGATGAAGAATAGTACCAATGCACTTTCACACTGATGGTTAGACAAGTGCTTCACATGACTGCGCTTTTACCTCACAGCCGCCGAGGTGAAGCTACCTAGGTATGGTTGGGATGGTATACCAAAAACGCAGGCAAAGTGTGGTAAGCGGTGTGAGCAAAAGCAGGGCCAAAGTAAAAGGAAGAGATCATCAGGGCCCGCCGTCCCGTATCGCGGGCGTGGACGAGAACGTGCCATGTGCATGACGTACTATAGTCCGATTGGATGCTTGGACCGCGTTGCCGTTACAACGCACCTTGCTTGGCGCATACCACACAGCCGCACCGACTTTGATGCCCACGACATCTCGACACCTGCCAGCCCGTACAGCGACCGTCGATTGCACTGCGCTTCCAATTGTGAGTTACTAATTGGCACACCTCGGTCCCAAGCTCATGCAAACAGCGCCCAGCCACTACCACTTCGATAGCCGTAGCCGTCCCAACAACAAGCCGGCCCCGTACGACATCACCACTCCCCGGCGCAAGCCGCACACCTTGCCTCACGAACGACCAACATCTATAATCTCACAATGCGCACATTCTTCGCCCCGCTACTGCTTGCGCCGCTCGCCGCGTTCGCCGCACCCGATGTCTACGGCGACTTCGAGGCCGCCGTTGCGCCATTACCGACGCCCGTGTACGAGGCCATGGAGACATCTCCCGCCGACGGCAACCTCGAACTGCTCAAGCGACAAGGCAATGCATGCGCGACCTCGTACTTCAACTGCGCCGGCCTTGGCGCGCCCGGACTCTGCTGCCCACGAACAGCCGTCTGCTCAGCCGACCAGGCCGGCCACGTAGCATGCTGTCCCCAAGGCGTCGCCTGCACAGGAGCCATCGGCGCAGTCCCCACCGGCGCGAACCCCTCGGCCACCTCGACCGTCTCCTTCGTAATCGCATCCACAACCGGGGAGCAGCCCTTCGTGCAGGAAACAAATGGCGCAAACCACGGAAGCACGGTACAGAACCAATTCTACCCTTTCCCGTACATACCGACGACTTACACCAACGCAGCTGCCTGCTCGTCCGCTTATACAAGCTGCCAAAGCGATGCTGCAAGTTGTACGACTGCTCTAGCCAACGGCGCGGCTGGCGTCACCATCTCGGCCCCCAACGGCGGCGGCGCTACCATTACCGCCATTCCTAGTGTCGGCCTCCAGTCCGCTCAGAGCATCTGCTCCAGTCTCAGCAGTCTGGGCTGCTCGCAGCTTACCGTCGAGGCTTGTGCGGCTTTTGATGGTCAAGGGAATGCGGCGAAGAGAGCGCGGTGTGCCGACTACCTGATGACCGCGGGAGTGGCCGTTGGGATCGCAGGGCAGCTGCTGAGATGAGGAAGAGATGAGCTCGTGTCTTCGTTTCTTTGTGGATAATACGGTGGTTTCTGATGTTCATGAGCGGAAAATACGAATGTGCTTTGGCACAGGCTTGCTTGTGTGGATTTTGCCACGATATGGCGTTTGTAAGGAGTTTAGCGGTACAGCATGCGGCTGAAATGTTTGGTCACTCAAATCTGTACATGCCATCAATGAGATTACATAACTTTTTCCATGTTAAACCGTTCTACCATGTTCTGTGTTGTGATTCTCATTCCAAGACATGTCTGTCTGCTCGAATAAAAGTCTCTTTTGCCCAGTAGCTTTGTAAAGTGAGACAATTCGGATTTTGAACGTGCCTAGGTTGAGGTTCTTGCTGCCCGGACGAGGCCCGGGGTACTTGTGTGGTCTGCAATCGATTGAGATGTACATCAAGAGTAAGTAGAGATAATTAAGTACGGAGGGTGGAAGCAGAGCGGACAGTACGTGAGCGGCAATGTTTGAGTTGGTACTTCAACAAAGAAGATCATCCCAGAACTGTGACAGCAGAACCACCCCTTCTCACCAACTTACCTCACTATTCATCTATGTGTTCCCAACCTTGCGCAACACATTTCCGAGCATAGCGACAGCAAAAATGATATCTTGAGCACGGCTAGACTCGAACTAGCATCTTCCACTCGCCCATAGCCAAAACTAATTATCAGCTGTCTTCCACCGCGGTGCCGAAGCCCCAACGGATTGTGACGGGTGAAATATGGCATGGACGTCCTGACCATTGGACTACGCATTCTATATTTGACTGACTGATGGTTAGATGGCGAACTAGGGTGGTTGTGTAGAGTGATCTTGGGTGAGATTGATGGATGATAGATGGCATCTGAATGTATGGAGAGTGATGGGTGAGACAAGATAAAGCACAGTACGATGTATGAGTAAAGACGCAAGTAAGGTGGGAGGATATGTTAAGAATGTTTTCATTCTCTAATTCGTAAAGCGAGTGTCGTGTTCATAAAGACATAACCTACAATGGTTTCCCACGCCTGGGAAAACCGGGTATCAAGATCGTTTGAAACAAAAGCCCATACAAGGCCCTCTCTATCCTCCTCTTCCAGATCTTCTATCGCCCTCAAGTCGTAAATAGCGTACCCAAAACCTTCCAAACAAACTTTCCAAACCTCCCACCCCAATCACATACGCAGTTCACACCCTCTCCCTCGGCTCAACCCCCCCAACAGCAACCCCATCAATCCCCCCAAAACTACTCCTCGGACTCACATCCCCAACCTCCTTCCCAAACTCCTTCTGCCTAAGTTCCCAACTCCCCACCCTCTCATGCCCCCTCTTCCCATCACCACCAAAACTAACAATACCCGCATTATTCGTCGCAGGCGGCGCCCCATTCCCCGCAAGACTAACATCGGGATCCGACGCCAACTTCGCCGAGCCCTTGAAGCCACCAAGATCAGATTTCTGACCCCGCTTGCCACCAAGACGGTGCTCGACGCGGTGGAAGCGGAGTCCAGTGAGTAGCATGGCGAGCGCGAAGAGGAGGCCTGCTACGACGAGAGAGACGACAGCGCCGATTAAGCCGCCGACGACGGGGGAGACGCCGTCTTTACTTGGTCGTTCGTGGGCAGCGGGGACGACGAGAGTAACGCCGCTGCCGTCTGCGCCGCGGCAGAAGAACGCTCCTGTGCTGCAGGTTTCGCACCAGTCGCTCAGGCCCTGCATGGAGATTGTGCTGAAGAGTCTCACAAACTCTGTGTAGCGCATGTCGGTCTTGGAGCGCCCGTTGTTGAACATGGAGTAGGATTGCAGTGGCTTGTCGTCTGCGTCTGTGCCGTTGTGGAAGTAGAAGCGTACCCAGAGGTCGTCGGGGTCGCTGGGCATGGCTGTACTGGAGCTGGTGCTGAACAGTTCGAAGATTATGGCGGAGCCGTAGGGTGGGATGGATTTGAATTCTGTGGATTGTGTGTCGAGCATCATGAGGGACATGAGGCTCATCATGGCGTCTTGTTCGCCGAAGAAGAAGGTGAGTGGGCTGGGCGTGCTAATTTGGCCTGCGCTGCTTAGATCGCCGGCGCTGTTGTTCTTGCCAGAGACGAGCATGTCGAAAGTGTTTTGGATCGAGCCCGCGAGCGTTTTGCCGCCGATGGCTCGGTTGCTGGTGTCGGAGGATGAGGTGTTGCCGTAGAGGTACCAGGCTACTTCGTCGGCGCGGGACCGAAGCGTATCGTATAAGCCGGACTCATTGTTTGCTAGGGTCTTGTAGATGCTAGCGTTGTGCATGTATTGGTATGACAAGTAGTCTGCCAGTTCAAGTGCATACATGTATGATCTGTGTCAATGTCAGTATTTGAATCATATCGTAGTCATGAATATGCTCTGCAACAGAAAAGATAGGGCAGTGGTAGGGAAAGATCAGAAAATAGAAGGCGAAAGTCTAAGACGTATTCCATCTCCAATCCCACTTACAGTTCATCTTGATCGACGTGACCTTCGAACCAATCCAGAGGGAGGTTCTTGTACAGTTCACTGTTGTCTGCCAAATACTCGGCGTCCCGATATTCTTGAGTCGTGAAGTATTTCAGTGCATCGGTTTGTCCCTGTGGACATTGTCCAGCTCCAGATACAAGTCTCGAAATTGGGGCGTACACATTAGCAGCATGGATGCTAGCGTACTGATATCCGTTGAGCGGGTAGTCGACCGAAGTGCCGTCTGCGAGGACACCCGTATTATCATCAGTTGCGTTGCTGATGTCATGTGGTGGGTAAAGCCCTTGCATGAAGGCTTGCGCCGACGATACGAGGTATGGCACATCGAGAGTCTGAACCCAAACTTGGTCGTTGTCCAGGACATCCTCTGACAGTCCCGCAATGGACTCAGGACCGGAAACGAACTTTGATCTGAGCTTTTGACCAAGCGCATGCATCTGGGTCGCGCCGAGATTGGTAAGAGTCTGGGTATTATTGCGCAAGATGGGTGTCCGTTCTCCCGTGCGAACGAAAGCGAAAGCAGCAAGTGTATGTTCCGAGTCTGAACTTTGAGCGCCAGCCAGCGAGGCCGAAGCCATTGCGGCGACGATGGTGCGTGTGAACATTGCGAGAGTATGTTGGTGTGGTACCTCAACACCAAGACGGTGACGATGGTGCTTGCTGGTGACGATAATACCAGCGACAAGGCTGAACACCAACTGAACCCCGGGATCACATCTCTACTTATTCCCTGCGGCAGCTCGCATGCAGAACTAGATACCCATGCTTATTTTCAAGGCAGCCAGGCACCTTACCCGCCAGCACAAAGAAGCGAACAGTCCGTGGCCCCCAATAACGATAGCGGCTGAACGCCTAATGTAAGCGACGCGGAATAACTCACAACTCTGTACGCGCCGCATGTAGGGCCGCGGCGTGACTGAAGCTGCAGCCTTGCTGAACGACTATGACATGATCATGACTGCCTCGAGCCAAATTTTGGAGACGGATAAACATCCGTGCAAAGGCATCATCGATGCATGAACCAAAGTGTTGCAGTTCCTTGGTTATACAGCATCCGAATTAGCCGTATTCAACGACACCATAGTGGATGCCAAGACTATAAGTATGGCTTTTGGGCGCATCGAATCCTGCAAAAAATCAACGGGGTGGCTGGGTGCTGACAGCGGGAGCCCAGATCCTATGAAGAATGATCCTCTCGCACGAGTGTGTTGGCCGCTATGCTACACCCAGTTAGCCTAAGATATTTACTAACGCTTCTCGTGGTCGTGACCGGGATACCGGTGAGCGGGACTCGGCACATCAGGTACAATGAGGAAACATACGATACTGCCACACCATGTTTGTGTGGGTCAGCGATACAGGACATGAATCTGCCTTACTTGCATTTAGGCCTTGATTCAACCGGATGGATGATTTTCCTTCTATCGTGGGCGACTTCATCTTCCAGATGTCGCAGTTTCAAGATTCATGTTGGTGAGAATTATTGCGGCGAACAGACGAAGGGTTTGCTTCTTCGAGCGGAATGTAGGGTGGCTAAAGATGGATCAAAGCACTACATTAGGCCGCCCACAGGGCTGAAAAAGTGCTGCCGACCCATCCGTATCAGGACACGGCACATGGCACGTGGAACTCGCATTGCTTGTTCGTTTGACATTAAATAATATATGTCCGCCAACAGCGGGCGGGTATTGCTACAATGGCCCTACGATGCTGCGGAAGACATTCGTCTACCACGCTCAAAACGCCAGTTTGGGTCCGCCATCAAGCGACTAGAACCGGATATACCCTTGCCTTTTCCAAACCATGACTCTACAAAGTAACTTCAACACGGCCCTCGGCACCTGGCGCACCACCAGCCTGCAGCGAAGGCAGGAGGTAGGTGATGTCGTCCCAGGGATGTCTGTAAAGACCAGTGCGCAGCCTCTTCTGGTCAAGGAAATGGGCAATGAGACCGATACTTCGGCCAAGGACGAAGAGACCGTTAAGGACACCCATCTTCAGGTAGTCCTCAGCCTCCTCTTGAGTGAAAGCACCACCGTTGCGAACAAGGTCAACGAAGCAGACAGCGATGCAGCCGTCAACGTTAAGAATCAGGTTGTCCTTCTTCGATGTGGTCACCGACTCGACGGCAAGCGCGTAGTCGAGCAGCTTGGTGCTGGGGAAGTTCTTCTTGACGTACTCCTTGACGAGCTCGACACGAAGATCGGGGTTGTTACGCGACTTGATCCTGTGACCAATACCGGGAACTGATAGACGTTAGTTGCTGTGAAAATATGGCTTCCAGCTTAGGCGACTTACTAAGCTTGTTCTCCTTCCTCATTGTGTCAACGAAGTCACGAGGGCTGAGGCCCTTGTCAAAGGCCTTGCTGAACTCCTCAGCGGCGCCGTCAAGCGCACCACCAAAGCGCGATCCAATGGTCAAGAGACCAGAGACCAAGGCACTGATGAGGTCCTTGCCAGCACGGGTAGTGATGATGGTGTTCATGGCACCAGACACAGCTGGACCGTGATCGGCAGTCAACATGAGAACCATCTCGAGGAAACGGCTGGCGTAGTTGGGCAGGCGGCGACGGAACCACAGCAGTGACATGACACCACCGATACCGATCTCCTCCCTGAAGACGTCAGAGATGGGCATACCGGCGTACAGAAGCTCTTGGCCACGGTCGTCAGAGATGGTGGAGATGAAAGCAGCGGGCTTTCGGATGAGACCAAGCTCCTGCGCCCATGAGTAGTCAATGGGGATCTTGGGTACAACGGGCTCAGGCTTGGGCTTGATGGTGCCGTCCTTGACGAGCTTCTGGTAGACCTGGGCAAGAGTGCCGGGCATCTCCTCGAAGGTCTCTGGGACGTAGATGCCAGCTTCCCTCATGGTCTTGTTCTTGGTGGCCGCAGTCTCGAGCTGAGAGTTGGCGAAAGAACCAGCGTGACCGAACTGGACCTCGGTCTTGAGCATACCAGCAACGGTACCGATGGCCCACGCAACAATGGGCTTGTTGACCTGGCCAGACTTGACAGCCTCAATGACGCGGTATTCCTCAACACCACCAACCTCACCGAGCAGGACAATGATCTTGCAGTCGGGGTCGGCCTGGTATCGGAGAACGTGGTCGATGAAGGTGGTACCGGGGTACCTGTCACCACCAATGGCAACACCCTCGAGCACACCATCGGTAGTGTTTGCGATGATGTTGTTCAGCTCGTTGGACATACCTCCGGACTTGGAGACGTATGAGACGGAACCAGGGCGGTAGAGCTTGGAGGCAACGATGTTGTCCATCATACCACCAGTGT